GGAGGAACGGTAAGTTGCTATCTAATTAATGCACATTTTTAGATGTTTGTAGTAATGTGGATAATATTTTTTAAAGACTCTTGTTTTCAGGAGATAAAATGATTTATATTTGGAAATGCATGATCTAGAAACGTGTGGGTGTTATAGTCATGAATCTCAGACCTGGAATCTCTTTTTTCTCACACATACATCTTTTAAAAAGTTTGAAATATTCGAGTATTTGTCAGAGTTTATTGATTTAGGAAACAAACTTGAATAAACTTTTGGTTAGCACCACTAAAGTACACATCTCATATTTAAACATTTACAAGACTCATAATAATAGTGACAGGTGAGATGTGTTATGGGTAAACAAAAGGGGCGGGGGCAGGAAAAATTCAGAGGGAAAAAATGCCTGGAAATATTTTACATTAAAAATCAATAGAACATGCTCATTTCATCCATTAAGCAGCGATTCTATAAGTAATGTAAATCAGGGATTCCAGATGAAAGGCATAATTCTGGGACCAATATTTTAAAAGGCACTACGTGTAGTCACAAAGAGGAAAAGTTGGCCCTCAAAAGGAAAACCTGATCAATTCTTTAAGTCCCACAAAATCTTCATGTTGTGTTAAGAATGGGTAAGGCCTTTTCCTTTTTTATCATTTAGCAGTTTAATATGGAGTTTGTGGCAGTCAACTGATATTGAAAAAAACTCCCTCTGGCAATCCTGGATCTTAAATGTCTTTTGAAGTTTGAAGTAGCATGTAACATGGCAAATTCTAGAAATGAATGCAGCCCGGATCTTTCCTTCTGGGAAGAACATTAATTCTGAGAATGAAAGTTCAGGACATTTAGCTTATGTGGACTGGCAGAAAGCTAAAGGTCTCTGGGGAAATTTTAGTATATTGCAATAATTATAATTGTCATAGCTCAGATTTTATTCATATCATGTGATAAGAAATGACATTGCAAAAATATTTAAAGCACTCTCAGGCTTACAACTTGCTTCAATCTTTCCTGCTATCTATTTCTCACATTTCATTGGGCCTTCCTCTTAACCCTTTTCAATTTTGTTCCCTCATTTTTTGAAAATGAAATTTTAGGGTTTTTTTTAATTTTTATTTTATTTCAGAGAGGAAGGGAGAAGGAGAGAGAGCTAGAAATATCAGTGATGAGAGGGAAACATTGATCGGCTGCCTCCTGCATGCCTCCTACTGGGGGTCGAGCTGCAACCCTGGTTTTGTGCCCTGACCGGGAATTGAACCCTGACCTCCTAGTTCATAGGTCAACACTCAAACACTAAGCCACACTGGCAAGGCTAAAATTTTAGTTTTATCAAAGTATTATCTGCAAAGAAATATTTGCAAAAAATAAATATAGTGTTAAAAGACATAAATATGACATTCACTCAATCCCCTTGTCTTAACACCCCAGGGGGAAATGCTTTTTGACTTGTTTTCTAGATACTAATCTTTGTAATTTAAAAATATATGCATATACTACATTTTATTTCTAAATCAACAAAAATGTTCTATTATGGTATATAAGGATTTCACTCACAATTTTCCTCTCCTCCCTTAAACCATCACATCATTTCAATATACAGGAGTCCCCCCTTATATTGACAAATCCTCTTGGGGGATAAATTCCAACACCTACAGTGGATGCCTAAAACTCCAGATAATACTGAACACTACATATACTGTATTTTTCCCATACATGCATATCCATGATAAAGCTTAGTTTATAAATTAGGCATAGTACGAGATTATCTAACAATGAAATAGAGCAAGTATGACAATATGCTAAAATGATAGTTATTTGAGTGCATTCTCTCTCTCAAAATATCTATTATGCTGGACGTACAATGTCAATATGCTGGACAAAGAGATGATTTATGTCCTGGGTGGGAGGGAGCAGGACGGCTTGAGATTTTTATCAGGATACTCAGAATGGTGCCCAATTTAAAACTTAAATTGTTTATTTCTGGAATTTTCCATTTAATATTTTCAGCAGTTTACTGCTGGAAACTGAAACTGAGGAAAGCAAAACCACAAATAAGGGGGGACTACTGTATTTCAACTTTTAATTTAAAGGATATTCAGTGTTTTCACTGTGACAACTACATAATTGATGTTTATGCTATACCAGGGAAAGTGCTATGATGCTTTTGATTTCTTATACAATTCATTTCCTCAGTAGCTACTAAATTCCTAACATTTTGTTTGTTTATTTTTCACTTAGCTGTTTTTGAAGATCTAAGTTTTCTTCAGTTTCCAGTAGCTCTTTAAAATGCCTCTCAGTACAATTTTCTTGATAATCAAACATGTCAGATGAATTATGAGTTCCACGTATTTTCTTGGAAATAGCTTTCATGCTTTTATCTGAACAATTGGCTTTCTAAGCCAAATAAACATGTTTTACTTTTTCCTGGAATGTTTGTTTTCATGTTGGAAATTTCCTTTGCTTCTACCCTTTGTCAGTATCCCTCTACCCCATAGCTCTTGTATATTCTTTTAGTTTAGATTCAGCTATAAATAAAAAACTAAACCAAAAACCTTTCCCCAAAGTTGCTTAAATAATGGAAGTTTATTTTTTTCCTGAAAGAAAAGCCTAGTAGTAGATAGTTTGGGCTGGTGCTGTAGCTTCGTGTGTATCAAGTTCCAGGATCTTATTTTGCTTTGCTGCCATGCTTAGCATGTTGCTCCATCTCCTAGAGTAGTGATGGCGAACCTTTTGAGCTCGGCGTGTCAGCATTTTGAAAAACCCTAACTTAACTCTGGTGCCATGTCACATATAGAAATTTGTTGATCTTTGCAACCATAGTAAAACAAAGATTTATATTTTTGATATTTATTTTATATATTTAAATGCCATTTAACAAAGAAAAATCAACCCCAAAAATGAGTCCACGTGTCACCTCTGACACACATGTCATAGGTTTGCCATCACTGTCCTAGAGAGTATACAATGGAGCATTACTCAGCCATGAAAAAGAATAATATCTTACTATTTGTGACAGCATGAATGGACCTAATAGGTACTATGCTAAGTGAAATAAGTCATACAAAGAAAGAAAAATACCATATAATGTCATTTATATGTGGAATCTAAAGAACAAAATTAACAAATAATATAGAAACAGACTCAGGTACAGAGAACAGAGTGATGGCTGCCTGAGGGGAGTGGGTTTGGGGACTGGGTGAAAAGGCTGAAGAAGTAAAATTAGTAATTATGAGAAGAGTCATGGAGATATAAAGCACAGCACAGGGAAGAATATTGTCAATTATAGTGTAATAATTCTGTGTGGTGACATGTGGGTACTTGAAATATCGGAGAGAATACTTGGTATATGATTGTCTAACCACTATGCTGTACTTCTGAAACTAATACAACATAACATTGAATGTTAACTGTAGTTGAAAAATAAAATTTAAAAAACCATTTTTCTTACATTTTCTTGACCAAAACATAGTGCCTTGGCTATATCAACTTGCAAGGAAATCATTACTTTAGGAAATAAATTCTTCTAGCTTCAATATTCCCATCTAAAATTTGGAATTGTATTATCAAATGCAAAGTGTATAATAGATATTGGGAGGCAACTGCCACATCTACCATCATCATCCTCATTGGGAGGGAGAGGGAAGAATCAGGAATGGGCAGAAGGAGAAATCACACTGTGAGGTAGGCTGGGTGACGTCTTCCGCCAACCCAGGGGGAGCTTGGGAGTTAAAATAGCTCATCAGAGATGGCCCTTTGGAGTCGTAATAGCTGGACCTTTATATCCCTGCCTCTGTCCATCATTAGATGAGGGTCTCTCTGGGAAGCATATGATCTTGGATGAAGCAGCTCTCCTCAGCTAAAGCAATCTCTAAAGAGATTGACAGCTATCTTTGATAACCTACTCTTGTATCCTATGAGGGATTCGATCTATTATTGTCACCCATCACATGAGACTAGTATCTTCAAAATATTTTAAAGTCTCCTAAGATAAGGGAAACATGGATGGGAATGCTTGAGTACAAGTTTCAAGCTGGATCATTGAGTGAATACAAAGTAATACTTCTGGGGCCTATCCCAGAGTATCCCTGAGCTCTTTGAGTACTGAAGAGATGTAAGACAAGGTCTTAATCACCTTTTTATGAGTAACTTTAAGAATCCATGCTTCTAATAGCATGACTTAGAACTTCTTTTTTAAAAAATATATCTTACCAATTTTTTACAGAGAGGAAGGGAGAGGAATAGAGAGTTAGGAACATCGATGAGAAAGAAACATTGATCAGCTGCCTCTTGCACACCCCCTACTGGGGATGTGCCCGCAACCAAGGTACATGCCCTTGACTGGAATCGAACCTGGGACCCTTCAGTCCCCAGGCTGACACTCTGTCCACTGAGCCAAACCGGTTAGGGCTACTTAGAACTTCTTGCCTGCTCTGTCTGTGAAGTATGGTAGGATGATGTTGAAGATTAAATAGAACATAAAAAAGTGTAGCACGGGGCTGGCACACAGCATAATTCCCACCATAGCTACTGCTACTGTGAAGATGCTGCTGAGGGTGTTAAGTATGATAAGGCAAGAGCTGAAAGAGCTTCCTGCCTATATTTGTCATTTTATAGATAAAATGATTCTCCAAATATTCCTGAAGCATCTGCCATGTCTGACTCTGGGTTAGAGACTTGGTTTGAAGAAATGAACAAAATAGATATGAGTCCTGTGCTCACTGTACTTACAGACTGGTCATGAAGCAGATATTAAAGAGAACCCAACACATAAATTTAAAAATGCAATTAGGGATAAGCTTTCTAAAGGAAAATTCAGCCTGGCTGGTGTTGCTCAGTGATTGAGCATCAACCTATGAGCTAGGAGATCATGGTTCAATTCCTAGGTTGCAGGCTCCATCCTCAATAGGGGGCTTACAGGAGGCAGCCAATCCATGATTCCCATCACTGATGTTTCTATCTCTCTCTCTCCCTTTCCCTTCCTCTTTGAAATCAATAAAAATATTTTTTTAAAGGGAAATTCACAGTGCTACAGAGGAATGCAAAAGGGGAATGAAGACTGGAAGGTGAAGAAGGATCTTTCTGAGGAAACATTGCTGAGACCTGAAGAAATGGAATGTGATAACAAGCACGTGGTTTGCTGAAGAGCACGTGCGAAGGCCTTCAGGTAGGGAAGAGAGAGGTCACTTGGACCTGCAAGCCTAATGGGGCTGAAATGTGTCTGAGGGGCGGGGAGAAGAGATACCACACGAGGAGGACTTGTCAAAGAACAGAGTTTTTCCTAAATGCAATGGAAAGTCATTTTGACTAGAAGAGTGACATGATGTAGTTTACATGTTTTAAAAAAAACACTTTAACAGCTTTTTGGATAATAGCGTAGGAAGATGCCAGAGCAGAGCAGGATGACCAGATAAAAGCTGTTTTTTATTTCAGGGAGGGTGTAACAGCCTCTTAAGGAGGCATCACGGGAGTAGAGAAGGAGATGAATGAATATTTTATATAATTATTGTCTGGTAGATTTTATTACTATCATAATTATAAATATGACATGCAGCTGAAGATGTATGTGTACATACATGTTTACACAACTTCACATATGTACGTACATACCTCTGCAGCTATATATGTTTATAATAATTATGATGATAATAATATAATATGCCAGACAATTTATTAAGCCCTTTCAAATGCATTATGCCATTTTCATAGAATCTCTTTAAAAAGTGGGTACTCTTTTGTTAATCCTCATGTTTTTAAATCGATAAAACAAAAGTCAGAAAAGTTAAAATAACTTGCTCCAGGTCACACAGGTAGAAAGCAGTGTTGCTTGGATCTGACCTTAAACCTGTCTGATTCTAAAACCCATATCCTCAAGCATTATTCTATTCTGCGCTCGCCACCTCACCTGACTTGGGTACTTTGTTTAGATTCTCTCCCTTTGGGCTGGTACCAGGGACTCCTTTCAGCTTCCGAACCCTCAGGCTTTGGAATGAGCGGGGACAGTGGTTGTGCTGGGAGCATCCGTCCCAGGCAGCTGGGCAGGTTTTACATCAGCCCCAATCTCAGTCTCACCAGTGGCTCTAGGAGCTCTCCTCGTGTTTCAGAAAAGTGGCCTTTATGGCAAGTGAGAGCAGCTACTGAAGCTGTACTCCTGTACATTAGCACAGAATGGAATGGTAATTGCTTTCAATTGTGTGGAGCTGCAGATAATCAAGCAGAGGGGTTGGAATAAGTGTTTTGAAAGGAACATGGAAAATTACCAAAGCAGAAGTGTTCTAATGAGAAAAGCAGGGTACACAATTTGAGCCTATGAGGTGGTGAAGTAGGATTCAGAGTAGATCACTAAGAGGATGTGCTGTTTGGGACGGGGGAGGGAGTGGAGAATAGGCTGATAAATACATGAGTGTAAAGATCTTGACATAGTTGCAGAGAGGAAACATGGAAAAACAGTGAGAATTGATACCACTTTTGAAAGTTTACTATATACAATTAGAGGCATCACCTCATTTAATTCACTCTCGTAATATCCCTTATTTACTGAGGCTCAAAGGTATCAAGGAAAATGCCTTGCCTTATACAGGGAATACTGGTGGAATCGGGATATTACATCTGCCTGCCTCCCCTGTTGAACTCAAATATTATATCCTCCAAAGGGGCATGGATTTTGAATGTCTCCTCTCTATGATTTTTTTTGTCTTTAATCCTAAAGGAGAAGGGAGCCCATAAAGAGAGTACAGGAGAAGAGAGGGAAATACATTACCTGTGTAGGTTTTAGGATGACCTCTCTTTAGAAGACAACCACTCTGGCTGAGCAATTAAAGTGAAGGCTGCAAAGTGTGACACACGGCACAGACAAATCCTCAAAGGCTGTATCTCTAGTGACAGAAGGAGGTTTCTCAGGAGTTACTGCAGCTACCCGACAAATGGTGGTACATTTCGAATCATGCATGGGGAATAATAAGAGTGAAGAGATTCACACTAGAGCTTAGAAATGTTAAAATGTGTGAGATGCCACCAGTCAGAGAATTTAACTGATCACCATTTGGTCAAGGGAGCCTATTTCTAGTGAGAGGATATTTTATCAGAGACAGCAGGGATGTTTAGATCAAAGGCTGATGCTGATTCAGGAGGAAGACAGTGAGCTCCTGAGGTCTGTGACTTGCAATAGTCACATAGCTAGTTGCTGGTTAGAATGACAGCTGCCATGTATCAAGTACTTCCTATGCTAGGCATTACTCTTAAGAGTTTCCCATGCTTTAATGTCTTATCACTCAACTCTCCTAAGACCCCATATGCTAGGTGCTATAATTACAATAACTGCCATTTTACAGATAAAACAAAAGGAAAGATAGGTTGAGAAATTTGTCTAAAGTCATACAACTAGTAGCTACTACAGGTGAAATCTGAGCCTAGGAGATTTGACCCTACGGCTCATGTGTCTAACCACTGAACATGCTGTCTCTCTTAATTGCAAGTTTATTTGTTTTTACATCACTTGCTCTAACATTCTAGAATTCGTGAGGTGAGTATGTAGATTAGATCTTTTTATGAGACCTTCCTCTCTTTGCCTATATTAAAAATTATTATTAAGCATTGTTAGAAATTAATGGACTATTTACTATAAAGCATTCTACAAGAAGTCTTGTTCTCTGATATATGTAAAATCAGAATGCTAGATAGAAATTTAGGGATCAAAATACTTGTTATAGAACAAAAACTCATTAAACTTCGTTTGAAGAGAATAGGTGGAAATTGACATACTTAAATATGTCTAATTCTGTAAAGGTTTTTCCTTTTTAAAAAGTTAGGCCTAACTTTGCCCCCTGTGATTACACTGGGGATTGGCTTAGTTGAAAGGAAGCATTTGAGTGGCCAGACTTAGAAGAGAGTGCATTCCTTCAAAGCGGTTACCAATGATGACATGAGAAGATGAGACAATCAAAGTTTGAGAGGGAGACTCATTCACCAGGGCCTGTGTGGCTCAGTTGGTTGGGTGTTGTCCAGTGCACTAAAAGGTTGCTGGTTCGATTCCCAGCCAAAGCACATGCCAGGGTTGCTGGCATGATGCCTAGTAGATGGTTTGTGGGAGTGCAAGAGGCAGCCGATCCATGTTTAGCTCAAATCGAAGTTTCTCTCTCTTCTTCTCTCTCTAAAAATAAATTTTTTTTTTTAAAAAAGAGGGAGAATTATTCTACTAAGCTAGAAAAGGAAGGCAAAATAAGGCCAAATGTGCCACTAGATTAGAGACTAAGAACTAATATGGAAAACAGCAGTCAAAATAAGCAAGAATTACCTGGACCAATTAGGGTTTTTGTCACCCATGCTGCTGCTCAGAGCTGCGTGAGAGAGCTGACTCTATTTAAAGGTAGCAATGGGTCAAGTTGAATGATTCTGGCTACATTTTGAAAATATGCATGAATATGGAGTAGAATGACAATACACTATTGTTCAACGGTGGCAGTGTTTTGTTCAAAAATTCACTTTCTCATTGTACATTTTATTGTTCTAGAGCACCCTGCAAGGCCAAGTAGGAGACGTGAGTTCTGCTAATCTCAGCCAAAATTGTATTAAATCAAATGAGAGTCAGAAGAGAGTTGTCAGTGTATGGTTGAGAGCAAAGGTGTAGGTATCAGACAACCTGGCTCCAACTACACTCTATTACTTACTCACTATGTCCTCTACTGTTCTCACTATGTAGCCTTGAGCAAGGTTATCTGATCTGTAAAATGTTATACTAATGCCAACTTTATAAAATTGTTTGGATAATTGAGAGGATACCAATGAGGCTGTACTAGGCACCTAATAGATAGTAGATAGTGGCTGTTATTTTTATTGATTTTATTATCATTAAAACATGGTTAAAACCTGTGAGGTTCAAATGGTAGGGGAGAAAGAACTTATTTCAAGCCCCTCCAGTCCCTCCTGGCTACACAGTAAGCACTCGCTGAATGGGCATTACTATTATCAGCTGATATTTACAGAATAGCCTACAGAGAAGCTCATAATCTATCAAAAAGGCTGCTTTCATTCTCACTGCATTGAATCTCTCTCACTTTTATATTTAACTGTATTTCCAGCACAGAAAATGACTGTCTCTACCTTGACACAAGGCCAGTTTCCAATTTAAAGTATTCCCTTATTGGAATAAAACAGAAAAAAAAATATAATGTTTAATACTTCATTTAGGTATCGCGCAACTCTATCAATGCTAATGTGTTCCTCTGCTTTGGAATGCAAGGACCAGGGACGGGATTCCTCTAGCTTCTTTTAAGGGGCACCTGGTGGATCTGAATTATGCATTCTGGGTTGAAAGTGGAAAATATGAGGCCCACATAACTCAGTGAGTTTAGAGATATGGATTGCTTAACTCTAGGATTAGAATCAGGCACTGGGAAGAAAAAGAATGATTTTATAAAGAATAGTTTTAGAAATATAAAAATTATTATATTGTCAAATTAGAACCAAAGCGTTATAACTTAAATTTGAAAAATTCTAATCGATGATTCAAATGTCCCATTTCTTTATTCAACAGAAATTGATTCAGTGCTCGCTATATCCTAGAATGATGCTTGAAATTTACATCATCTTCATCTCTGACCACAACTGAACAACACAGGCCAACAAGGTAAAATTGAATTTTACAGTAGTCTCGGGTTATACTCCATTAGTGGCATTGTTTATGTTTTTTAAAAATATATTTTTATAGATTTCAGAGAAGAAGGGAGAGGGAGAGAGAGAATTATTGATTGGCTGCCTCCTGCACACCCTCTACTCAGGATCGAGTTTGCAACCAGCATGTGCCCTGACTGGAAATTGAACTGGTAACCTCTTGGTTCCTGGGTCGATGCTCAGCTGCTGAGCCACACCAGCCAGGTCATTAGTGGTATTTTTATTTAACAAGTTAATTTCTTCTCACTTTGTACACCAATACTTACCTCCTTTCCCTGTATCAGGCAGTGAGTAAAGATTAAGAGTAGAAGTAGAGGCCAAGGTATTTCTGCTCCCATCTTGCTTATGTTCCTTTCTTCTCACCTGGCACAAGGAGCACTATTTCCTCTCCTTGCTTCTTGCTTCTTTAGGCTTAGAGGTGGTAATGCCTTTCACTTTCCAACAGTCTGTGAGTGCTTCTACACCTTTTCCTGGTTTCCATATCTTCTGTTCACTCCTTTGTAGACTGCCCTTTTATTGGATTTGCTTCAAAAGTCCCATCTGTGTGAGCCTTTCTGCCTGGAAATTGATTAATAAATAACTGCTCCTATATAGCTGAGATAAGAACTTATCTGTTATCAATAATAAACAAAAAAATATCATCTAAAACAGTTTTACTATTTCAAAACAGATAGCAAGGTGAAATAACTTAGCCATTGTTGTAATTCACATTTATATACACAAATGTAGGGATGTATACACAGGGCATTGGCCATCAGTGATTTCCAGAAAACAATTTGCCTGTTGCCTTTATTGTCATGAGAATTCTTAATTAACACACATTGTTTTGTATAGGTGAGCCCTCCATGCTCAAACATGTCAAGGCAGGTACATCAAGACTTTTCCATAGAGATTGAGTTACTCCTCCTCTTTGCCTGACAATTTCTCTTGGTTGTCAAGAACAGTGACAAGAAACCAGAAAGGAAACACCATGTTTTACAATTTAGCAGGAAAATCAAAAGGAACAGACATGCAATCTGTTGCTCCTCTCCCATATGGGTGACAATAATGCGATTGGAAGAATAAGTACTAATTAGCTAAACGAAAAGCTCAAACTGTGACTGTTGAAGAGTTTAATTGTAGGGCAAACTGAGATGCTTTCCCAATCCTGGAGAGAGAAGCAGAGAGAAAATCAGAATGTTTCACCTGCACAATCTGGTCAATATAACCCTTGTATGTCTCAGAGAAAATATGAACGATGTTATTTAGAGGAAATACTAAGAAAGATTCTAGTTGAGAATTAAGGAATTTGATTATTTATGCATATCTTATTCTAAAAACCAAAGTAAAAATATTGTTCAAAATAATTCTTTAGCTATATTTACTAAAAGCAGGCTATCAAAATATACATTAGCATTAGGATTTAAGTATTTAAGTATTTATTTAAAACTCTACAAAATTCCCCCTCTGAATATATTGTTATGGATTAAACAGAGGGATAATTTATTGCTGCCTGGGCCAAATGGCTATATTAAAAATCAGGTGAAGAATACACAGAATATTTATTGAAACATTTATTTATTTCCTCCCTGCTAGACTAGTAAACACAGCTAGAAGAAAAACAATTATGTTTGCTCTTAGGATCATCATCTGCTAATCCAATAATCTCTAGCTCATTCCTCTTCTGGAATTAGATGAGTAAATCTTGGTTCCTAGTATATTCTGTCATGACATTCACATTATCTCCCGGTCTCCTGATACTAACAGAAAAAATAATCTAGTTTGTAGTGATTTGGGGTAACTTAGGTTATAATTTGCCTATATCAGTGCAAACAATGCACTTATCTTGGGATTTAATTCTCTTTTCACCACCATTAGATCCAGCTTTTTGTGATCTGTGGCTCTTTTTTATGGGCATTGAAAACACAATCAAGACAAATGACCAAAACAAAAGAAGAGTTGAATAATTAAACATTTCCTTTATCCTGGTGATTTCTGCAGCAGTCTGCCTTGGGCTTCAATTAACTTATGAATATAAGAGACGTGACTTTTAGAAAATGAGATTTCAGCTTCTCTTATCTTGCCTTCAAACAAAGTAATTTTGATAGAGACAAGACTGGGCCAACCACATTTATCCTTATAATTCCTGAATATCAGCTTTTGAGATAGTTTATCCTTATAACAAAAATGTTTTCCACTTGATATCAAGCTTTTGAAAAGGCTGGCCTAGTGTAATTTAACACATGCAACCCCAGTCCTAATCTAATGTGTGTGATATTTTCTGAACCAAATATTGTCTGTTAGTTGACATCACAGTATTAGATGACCAATATGATAGAACTGCAGTAATTCTGAAGGGGGGGAGGGTCTTACATGGAAAATATCATTTGGAAAAACTACTTCCTACTAGCTATTATAACAGGGTTAACACATTAATAAAAGATGGAAACTCTTGATTATAATTTTGTGTGATTATAATCATCAAGTTCTAAATAGGCCCAAGAGGAATTTTACTTACATGTCTGATTAAGAGAGAAATATACTAGATTATTTAATGATTAAACTTCTTTTTTCCCTCCTTCCCTAAGGAAGTTATTTTGAGCTTGGGTGAGAATCATCATTTTTCCCTTAAATTTACTCTCATCTTCAATATTGCATCCGATTCATAAAGCATGTAACTGGAACAGTGCAAAACGAGGCCCCTAGAATTTGATGGTGACCTTAGGAAGTTAGCAAGCGTCCAGCCCTGGCCACGTGGCTTGGTTGGTTGGAACATAGCCCTATGCACCAAGGGTCAAAGGGTCATGGGTTTGATTCCCAGTCAGAGAATACACTTCAGTTTTGGGTTCCATCCCCAGGTGGGACACATTCTAGAGGCAACCAATCGATGTTTTTCTCTCTGTCTCTCTCACATTTCTCTCAAAAAAAATCAGTAAAAACATATCCTCAGATGAGGATTTATAAAAAAGTGTCCAGAATTCTGCTCATGATTCATCTGGAGGGGAGGTTTTCCTTCTAAATACATATCAAAATACAAGGTGGGCAGAAGTAGGTTCAAAGTTTTTTGTATGGAAAATAATACAATAATTAATAAATAATGATACAAGAATAAATTCTGTATTTTGCATATTCACAACTGTAAACCTACTTTTGCCTCTCCCTGTATACAACCTCCAGAATAGCCCAATATAGTAAACTAAGTGTTTAAAGAAGCAACAGGGCCAAAACCGGTTTGGCTCAGTGGATAGAGCGTCGGCCTGTGGACTGAAAGGTCCCGGGTTCGATGCCGGTCAAGGGCATGTGCCTGGGTTGCGGGCACATCCCCAGTGGGAGATGTGCAGGAGGCGGCTGATCGATGTTTCTCTCTCATCAATGTTTCTAACTCTCTATCTCTCTCCCTTCCTCTCTGTGAAAAATAAATAAAATATATTTAAAAAAAAAAGAAGCAACAGGAAAAAATACTAGTAAATTTGTGAAATTATACCTAAGAAATAAACTCAGATAAAATTAGAATCAGCATCTTATTATTTAGCGAATGTCTCCCCTAGAAATCAAAAGAAACATTGGCTCCAATACAAAGGACAGTATGAACTTAAGATCAGGAAATAGGGTTACTCATGTCTGACTTCTATGAAAAACTGTAAAAACACAAATTTCTTTTGATGACCTCATAGCATATTTACCAACTGACCCCAATTTGTCCTGCAATTTATAGATAATAATGTTTTATCTATTAAGCATTAAGTAACTCAGTTTTTCAAGGTAATAAACTTAAAAGTTCATAAAACCCATTAGTAGATTTATTTTGTTAGAAATAATTTGAAATTTAACCTCAGTGGTACACTCATCTATACTATTTATCTTAATTGACACATTGTAATTAATACATTGAGCATAATTCTCTCCAGACAATATAAAGGCTACTCAATCTTCAAAAGATATCAACCCTTTATATCCTCAAATATACCTATTAATCTATTCACCTTCACTGTAAAATTTAATGTCAAATTCCCAATACAACCTATGTTTGATTCTACTAGCAAAATAAAAAATGAATTAGCTGTATATACTGCCCCATTTTTAAAAAATATATATTGTTTTGACTGACTTCAGAAAGAAGAGAGAGAGAGAGGAGAGAGATAGAAACATCAATGATAAGAGAGAATCATCAATTGGCTGCCTCCTACATGAGCCTATAACCTGAACATGTGCCCTGGTTGGAAATCAACTATGAATTCTTGGTTCATAGGTTGACGTTCAACCACTGAGCAATACCAGCTGGCAATATACTGTCCCATTTTTAAAAACTAGGACATGAGGCTTGATGGGGTTAAAACATATTCTCAATGCCTTAATAAATTTTAGGAGTTGCTTTTCACTGTAGTATCCCATGGACTCTAATTTTTTAGACTGTAAGCTTTATGTAGGCAGAAGCTGTGTGGTTCAATGGCATATATACCAGTACCTAGTGCAGTGCTTATAACTCAGTAGGCATTTGTTGCTGTTCATATTAAAGTCACAGCTACCATGGAATGACCTTTGTTTCATTTTCACCAAGAAAATAGTATAGGATTACAAACAAACTCTCAATATTCAATCCTTTCCAGTCTTTGATTTCAGAAAATAATAGACTTTTATACCTTGGGGAAACTTCAGGATTATATACTCAGTTCCCTCATAACTGAGGTGCTTTTGAGCTTGGGTGAGAATCATCATTTTTCCCCAAGCAAAGTCTCCCAAGCAAAATAAGTAAATTTTCCAAAGGTCACACAACCAGTATGTGTTGGAGCTAGATGAGGGAGACTCTAGATCTGGGAGACTTTGAACTCTATTGCTGAGGCAATGGCTTTTCGCTTCCCACCTTTGAACATCTGCTAGAGAAGGAACAGCTGTCACATATGTTTCCACATTCCATGAAGGACCAGTAAACTGATCCAATGGGTGACAACAGGTCTAAAACCTGCTTAGCAATGGATC